CAGTTTCTCTGCATTAAAGACGAAAAGCCTTACCACTCCAGTGCAGTGTATGCGTCTGCGATGTACTCGTTTAGTCTTCCTTTTAGGATGAAACAATCTGGGCCTTCTGCCGAATCAATCTGTACATCTGGTGCTCTAGATATGTACGGAATTGTACAAATGCTAGCAGGCCAAATGAGGCAGAACATGGTAACTGTATTGGATGTTGCCATGCCAGCACCTTCTTTAAGTGGTATGCTTTCTTTTCCTGCCACTTTCATTCTTCTGAAGTCATTTCAATTACCTCAACACCTGATGTTGGAGACTCTTTTGTCCCCAGTAAACCAGGCTCAGCAATCCTTACTCGGAAGTTTGCAGCCCTTGACTCCAGATGTAGCAGAAGATGTTGAAGATTTACATGCAGTGGAAACGATGAACATTCATGGAGCAGTTACATCTGGTATTTGATGTGATCTTTAGCATATTTCCTTTTATATTGTTTACATTTGCTGCTCAGCCTTCTCGTCCTATTTATAGCTTGGGACTTGCGTTTGATTATTCTCATACTGGCTTTCTCATCTCTTTACAGACTCCATCTGCTTAATATATGCCATATTACCTATCTTTATTGCTGCTTTTACTAAAGTGAAGTTCAGGCTATACTGCTGTATGTAAATTTCATTAAATTAACCTGGTTTGAACTGCTAACGAGTAATTACAGATTAAAATATTACTATCAAATCCCTGCTATGTGAGATGATTTTGCAAGCTTTTCATTTGTTGTAGATCTAGAGATAATGGACTGGATACAGTAAAGAAAAGATTGGGAATGAGATGCTTCACTGTTCCATGTGGACTAATGTCAAAGTTAAAACCTACCTAAATAGTGGACTAGATTTGGGACCAAGCAAATGGCAAATAAAATAGTAGTTTGTTAGATTGTTTGTAACTTTAACTCGTGAGAGATCACTTCGAGGAAACTGAGGGAAATCTGAGATGTGTAGATCTGAAATGTGTAGAGTGAATGAATGCCCACCTGTAAAAGCATATTGGGCTATTCAGCCTGTTTTAATAGTGCATCTATTTACACCTTCTTGTTTATGCACATATACTTGATTTGTTTAACTTTAGTTTCCCGTTTAATTTTCAGGAAGCCAGAGGGCCTCAATTTATGAAGTTAAGGATGCAGTTCAGGCTGCATATGATAGTTCACTGACTATGCCCAAATTCTCACACCTATCAGTTGCTACTTGCCCTCTTCCGATACCCTTGCCTTTCCCTTCGATCTTTGGCAATATGGTTGGCCAACATGGTGAGCTATTGGAGACCCCAATTTCAGGTTCCTCATCTAGGGGATCTCTTGAAGTCCAATCCTTTCCTATGGTAACAAGATTACGTTCAAGCACTGCTGTTTTGCCCTTTTTGGAAGGTAAACTTGGAAACCTTCGTAAGTTTGGTATTGACCGAGGAGCCCTTGGGGCGCCATTGCTCCAAAGTTGGGGTTTTGGAAAAGATGAAGTGGAAGACATGGGAGAGACACTGTCTAAGTTGGTAGTGACACTGAAGCCTCAATATTCCTCTGATTCAGATTGAATTTCAAGGAGCATAATTTATTTTTGAGTGCTAATGGGATTATTCATCCGGCTATATGCAATTTGTACTATCTTTTTGAGTCAGTCATCTCTTTTCCCATTGCTTTTTTTTTTTTGGTTGTTGACTTGCTTTAGCAGATGAGTTAAAGGTGAAGAGGATCCCTTATTTAGTTATTCCTTTTTCTTTCTGAAATTAATGTCTTTTCTATATGTGGCAAAAGAAGTACAAAATCAAACTTATTGATCAGTGCAAGGTATACTTGGTAACTCCATTGAGGATGCCAGTTTTTATCAGTGTGCCGAAAGAGTTGAAACAAATAAGCAAACATGTCAGTTTTTATGTAAACCCAAATATTGTTCTGACATTGCTGCACAGAGTCGTGTTTCAAATATTTAAAAGAAATTTGCTAGCGGAAATGGAAGGAATAAAGATCCTTCCTTTCTTGGTGTTTTGAAGAGAAATCCTAGTCCTTTCAGGGAACTGGTTAGAAAAATGCCCGAGACTGCTAGTTAAGGATTTTGTGCAGATCCTTTTAGAGTTAAAGAAGCAGGGGATATCAGGGGACTTGATAAGAGGCCATTTTGCTGGTAATTCATCTTTTGCTACACTCCTGCATTATAACAGCAATCCTTATAATTTAAGTTCTCTTATGTCACGTCCTTAGTTATTAACTAAGTACACGTGCGGCACTTGGTGACTCACTTACGACACGTTCTTGCTATGCCAAGTCAGCCATCACATCCTTAGTTGTTAACTAAGTACACGTGCGGCACTTAGCAACTCGCTCACGATCTTGCATAACTTACTCACGTTCTTGCTATGCCAAGTCAGTCCTACTACACTCATGATCGCTAAGAAATGTTAGAATACATGAGAATTGCCAAAGGAAACTTTTGTATTAGAGAGAACTTAGCTAGCGTTTGAACATAGATTGAGTTGAAACTTGAAAAAATAATTTTTGAAGTAGTTTTGAAAAATAATTTTTGGAAGTTGAAATTATGTTTGGACATGCATTTTATTTGAAAAAAATTTGAAGTTTTGTGAGTAGGAACTTGATTTTCACCCAAAATCTACCATAAACTAGATTTTGGAAACTTGAAAAATATTTTCAGAAATTTTTCAAAAACAGATCACTAATCTATGGACAAACAATGTTTTCAAAAAAAATTTGAAAAAAACTTGCCAAAATGTATGGCCAAACGGGGGCTTAATAGTTTAGCTTGGTTGATGAATTACAAATGAATGCGCCTATGTATATTAATCACCTGGGGGCTAGTATGTAAATAATAATTGTTCTACAAGTCCTTCCATATTTACAACTAAGTCCCTTCTCTAGAATATTCTATACAGCTAGATTCTTCTAAGGACTTTCCTAACAATTCTATAGGGTTCTAGGGTCTTCCTAACGAAACCTCTATATTTCTCTAGAATCTTTATACAAATGCATAAATATCTAGAACATTTCCAAAGAAATTCTCCATAGTTCTAGAATATTCCACCAAGATCTTTTCCCTAACTTATGTAACCATTCCATATGGCAAAAATATATGCCAAGTGGCACCTACGTAGCATGATGATGTTGCGGGTCATAACACTAATTCTAAAATATTCCACCAAGATCTTTTCCCTAACTTATGTAGCCCTCCATATGGCAAAAATATATGCCAAGTGGCACCTACGTGGCATGATGATGTGGCGGGTCATGCCACTTATCCTTAATTTGGCATCCTTATAATTCCATTATGCAGTATCTTAGAGGAATTCAGCGTTGCAGTTATACTAGAAGAAAAAATTTCTTCTGGATTTTATGCTTCAAAATTATCTGAGGATTAAGGTCAAGAGTTAACTAATTCTTTGGACTAGCTCACAACCACACGTGGAGAGGGATATTCCTATGTACTATTCATTCAAACTTTGAGTACAACAACAATATACTCAGTGTAGTCCCACAAGTGAGATTTGGGGAGGATAGTGTGTACGTAGACCTTACCCCTATCTTTTTAAGACAGAGGGGATTGTGTGTATGCAAACTTTGAGTATAAAACTATAAACAATTGAAAACCAAATAATGGAATGGCACATAAGATCTGTACTTCAAGGATAAATAGTTACATGCAAGATACACCGGTCAACAAAAAATCTCTAAAATGGCATAACAAACTGCATCAATAGTTTAGCCCCACCAACACTTATACTCTCCGGGTTATTATGGGGAGGTAAAAACTAAAAAGTAGAAGCAGATTAAACATTTCACATTCAACAATGGCGTTTTTACTTTAATAGCATTAGACAGAGGATCTTAAAGAAGTCCAGACTCTTCTTCTGACCCCACGTATAATATACTTTTATGGTCCGGCCGCATAGCGGAAACTTAGTACATTCGGCTGCCTTTTTTTTTCTCCTCAAGATAGAGTATAGTCAAGGATCAAATAAAGGATTAAGCCGAAATATAAGTAAAAATTGCACGGGGCGTCCTATTTGGTCGCCCCCATTTAAATTATACCCATTTTTCTAAAAAGTTTTAACTTGTACTCACTTTTTAAACAACTTCAGCCCCCTTTCTCTTCCTCCTTTTCCTCCTCAAAGTTTTATCTTTTCTTTTTTCAGAACTAAGGTTCATCCCTATCTGCTTCTTCTTATTTCTCCAGTGAGTCCTATAAATTTTCAACCATTTTTTCCTTTTCGCCGACACCCTCAGCTGTAAAGGTTCTATCTTGATAAAAATAATAATATGCTACGATTATTCTTAAATACAAATAATACTCACAAGAGAGATAAGATCCCCTTCATCTATAAGAATAATATTAAATTTTCAATTCTTAGATTCAATGCTCAGAGCATCTTGAACATCAAGCTGATAGAAAACAACATTTGAAAACCTTGTTTATTCAGCAAGGATGTTGCTTCCACTCCCCTCTTCTCGTTTTTGGCCGTTAAGATAACCTTAACGCCTGATCTCGCGAGCTGCTTGACAATCTCAAAAGGAATAAACATGTCCGATGGATCAATATGATCAAGACTTGCTAACTAATTTTCTTTCAATTTGGTCAAGATGGTGTGGCAAATGAAATTATAAACAAACAAAAACTTAAACAAACCAGTTACAAATTCGTCAGTTACAAAACAAAAACTTCAGCACACTTGCTACTTCAGTCCCGTCTACTAGAATGCTGAAGTTTTGCGTGATTGTCTTTGCTACTTCAGCCCCATATGTTGAAGTTATGCGAAAAAGTGGGTACACTTGTAATTTTTTTTACAAAACGGACACAAATTAAAACGTGACCAAAAAAGCAGGTATAGATGCAAATCCCCGGAGGAATGTCCATAAAAAGTTATCTATATCCAGTTCTAAGTAAATAGGATACTCATTAAGTGCTAATAGAAGAAATACAAATAATTAATAGGAGTAGCCAACACCACTTGACAGTCTACAGAAGGCGTGGCCATTGATGCCACTCATAAGCAAATAATTTGTAGTATTCTGTTCTCCAACAATATTCTCCAAAATCATACACAAGTTCTGCAATATTCGTCTCCAAGTCATAAGAAATAACCTTACCGCTTACATTCAAATAAAAGATGTGGGGAATAGCAGGATGAATGTCCATGTTCTGCACCTCAATAGGTGTAGAGTCTACAAGTCTAAAAGCCTCTAGACATTGTAGAACTGTACTGGCGAAATTTGCAGCATACTTCCTAACCCACACTGCATCTCGACTACGAATATTGCTCTCAAGGCGCCATACAGTTATGGTTGTCCCAACATTCAATGCATAATAGAAAGCCCCACCTGAAAATCCAAGAAAACAACGGTCTCTGAACACCATATCTTGATCATGAGGCAATTCCAAACCCCAGAAACGCTTGTGGACACTATCATAAGCAGTGATCTGTTGAAAGTAATAAAGCCAACAGAATACTCCATCGATGACACCAGCTGATGGGGATTTCATAGTCTTATAATTCCATCGTCTAAGAGGTCTTGCATCAACATTTAGGTTATTGACATTAGTCTCAGAAGAGAAAAATTCAACCGTTACAGAGGACAGAAAATCCCAATGGCGAACTACAGTAAAGGAGATGCCATCTTTAGTAGAGTCATCTACCTTACAAATAAATCCAACAGTTGGATCATTCGTCTCCATTCGAGGTTTAGGGAGAGCCAAATGCTGCCTCGTAGCAGGATTATAAACATAATAAACCCCTGTAAGGTCAATGCAAAGAACAAAACCATTGGATGATGCGACAATATACACTCTCTTCCTGCCAAGAGAATTGACTGACTCATCCAAACTACCATCAATTACTAGTGATGATTCCTTCGACGAGAAGAAGAAACGAATTTTCGAACGTTCATAGGTATCCCGAGCCTGATAAAAGAAACCAATTAGATTTGGTTGAGGCCTCCATCGTCCAGAACGGCAACTACATATAAGACAGAGATGAATCAGCAATGAACTTTCGCCAATGCTTAGATACACACTTAAACCTTGCCAGAGATTTTGAAGGCAAACAATACAATACGTTGATTATGATATCCTCAGTAACTTCGACTACACCTTTACCAGACAGTTTGCGTAGTCGCTTCATACTAATACTTGCCTCTCAAACTTTCGCTAACTTCGGCTACATTATATATAGCAGTTGTTATGACAGTGACATACTATACCCGCCGCTCCAGTGAAATCTTCAAATTTTTAACCCTACGTACAACAGTCCCTTTTCCTTTTCCTTTTGATTTTTTTTTTCTTCTTTCTTTCTTTCTTTTATTGTTTTCTATTCTATCATGCATTTTTTTCAGTGACGCCTTCATTTTTTGCTATGAACTTTTACAAATACTTAGTCATAGAATTTCTAGCTATTTTAGGTTACATGGAAACATTCATTTAAACTTGGGGAAAAAACATGATTTTTATTATTTTATAAAATAAAAATTTTGAAATCATCCTCCTTCCCGTAGAGTAGATACAGAGCTAATGAAACGTTATTCCATCTGTATGTAACTAATATTGATCAGTTATAGACAAATTACATAAGCTTTCGGTCAATGATGTACAACCTGCGATTTAACCACATTTTCCTCTTTAATCAAATGTAATTGATCAATTGTCTCAAACACTACGACTATTTTAAGATGAAGATAACTTTCGAACACCATTTGTTATAAAAGAATTTTTATAGTATCAGATCACCTAAAAGATAATTACATATAATCGTCCATAATAAGTTGTAAGAATTAAATCATAGAACATGCATAAGTATTGTTCACATGTTACTCAGCTGAGTCTTGAATGGAAATCACAACCCCCATCTTGTGCAAGATGGGGATGTAGAGAGAAACGGGGAGAGTGGAAGATATGTTAGAGTAATTTTATTTTGGCTTACTTTTGATTGAAATTATTTATGGACTAACAGTTTGGGTAATTTTTTCATTTTTTTTTATTACCGGCAAATTTGGCTTAATGTACTAATGACAACAAAATTCGAATAGTAGCATAAGAAAGGTCATTTGTGCAAATGTAGGTTTAATATGAGAATGGATGGATATTGGATGAAATTTTTATATTCCTATGCCATATAGGAAACCATATTACCCTCAATGTATAAGGTTTGATATAATTACATTTAGTATATCTAATTACCAATTTTATACCATAAGATTTTTTAATTATCCATTAATTGTACCTTATATCACTCCTACATTTATAGTACCGTATATTCCTCCAAATCTCCTCCACCACCACGTTTCTCTCTCCCAACCCCACACTCTCACCCACGTATCACCACACACCCAGAAACCAGAAAAACCAGAAAAACAATTGAAACCCTCT